AGCAAAGCTAAGGCGATCCACAGAGATCCTTGAATGGGACCGAATTTGCAGAAATAAATCCACTCATCCAGGCCCACCGATGGACACAACTGCTTCCCACGCAAAGCCCGATTATCCCTACCCTCAGAGCCAATCTTTTTCCCGAAGTTACAGATCTAATTTGCCGACTTCCCTTACCTACATTATTCTATCGACCAGAGGCTGCGCACCTCGGAGACCTGCTGCGGATATGAGTACGAGCTGATGAAATACCGCCGTGACCCTCCCTAGGATTTTCAAGGTCCTGCTAGACACTCGTGGATGCAACAGAAACTGTAGCACTCTTCGCCAATTTTTTGGGTAAGCTCCAACAGAAATAATCACTATTAAGTCACTGCTAAGTCACTGATAATCCAGAGGATCACAGAAGGGACGTCTTCACTCCTTGAAGAAAAAAAGAGAACTGAAGAAAAAAAGAGAACTGCAAAAAAAGAGAACTGAGAAAAAAAGAGAACTGAGAAAAAAAGAGAAGTGTTTTGTTAAGCTCCTTCAGAAGAAAATAATACACAACACCTTAAAAACACCTTAAAAAGGGAGAGAGCACACAAAAACACACCTTCACTCTTTGAAGAAAAAAGAAGAACGTTGTTCTCCCGTTCAGTAGCGTTTTGGTAGCCGGGTCCGGATGGACATTGCCGGACGGTAGGAGAACTTGAGCACCATGTGCTCGATTAGGAGGTCCTCGTCCACGCTTGGATTTGAAATGTGTTTTTCTAAGCTCCTCAACTGATAAACACTCCACACACTCTCGTTAATCCATTCATGCGCGTCACTAATTAGATGACGAGGTATTTGGCTATTGGACTCCGGAAGGAGAGCACGAAAAGATTTGAAACCAATACAACTTATGTTGATATGGCGACGGAAACAAAGTACCGTCTGGGCGTTGCATCCATATTACTGACTAAACGAATTGCACAAATGGCGGACTCAACCGTAGCGTGCTCCCCTTCCAAAGATTTGTTATTGAGGAAACACAGAAAGATAAGTTTAACAGATACGAAAAAAAAGGTTTGGTCGAAATGTAATAATAATAAAGAAAGGTAAGTAATAAAGTGCCACGAAGGGCACTGGATAGACATTTAAGACTATAATGGCGATAAGTTTATCACCATGTTTATATAAATGTATGAGCCATAATAGGCATGTTTGAATAATATTACAAAGCATAACATGATTTAGGAATGTAAATAGATTATATTAGAGTCATTAGGGGTGTGGATGAGACGAGAAGGATGTGCCCACCCACCATGAAACGAAGGAGTTTAGGAGGCGATTGGTTGAGGGGGAGCTGAGAAAGCTCCGTCCCTGTATCTCCGGAAGATGCCATGAGATTCTGTTATATCCGCAGCTGGACGTAGGCCAGGAATCTCGGCGGAATCTTGCAGTGGCGGCGCAGATCGTTCACACTATTGTGAACATTATACCCCTCCACGACGATATGAAGGGGATCACAACCACCTCATGGTCGCTGCTGAGTCCCAGCTTCTCACGAATTGCCGTGGTTGCATTTATGTTGCCATACTTGTTTAGTTTCTGGCGATAGTCATCGATGAGGTTCGACTTATCGCTAACGATTGAAGGGTCAATGATGATTGTCTTGTTTGGCCTTGCAGAATAATATCCGGCTTAATAAAAGTGTCAGTACCGGAATGTAGTTGCTTAGGTTGACGTCAAAGCCCAATTTAGCCAAGGAGCCCACAAGCATATCTTGATCACATCGTGGCGATGGATCCGCAAGCCTTGCGTTTTGGGCATCCCTGGAGAATGTGGGATAGGTTAGAACCTCCGAGCAGTGGTCACAGCGATTTGTGGGCCTCTGCTTATATCGGTGCTTCTTGGATGGGGTGGTGTGACGGAGGAGGAGATCGTCTGGAGGGCCACGCAAACTCCCAGTCCCTTAAAATCACATCGTTCCTCTTCAGGAAGGAGAGATTATTGTAGCCGGCCCGCGCGTTAGCCAGCCCAGCCGTGTCACCTTGGCCAGCAAGTCCGTTCTGTAGTGTGACGTTATTCGCTCATTGGTGTTGAGCCTCACACCACGGACTGAGACGATTTTGTCTCGAAGTCTCTTACGTAAATTTGAAGGATCTCCATGATGACGGGGTCATGGGAGCGCTTGAGCTTCTCAACCCGGTTGTTGAACCACACCCGGGCTGAGCGCTCGTACTCAACAAGCCCTAATCCGCCATCTCGGGTCCGTGCATAATAGAAGGACAGCGGAACGTCCTTGAATATCCCGCTCCATTTACGGATGAAGTCGCGGATGAGGGAGTCAGCCTGTCTCAGCTCTTTAATGTTCACCAGGCCCTTTGATACGCCGAACTGGAGCTTAGGGAGAGCGTAGTCCTTGAGCGCAAGGTACTTGTGGTGTCGGCTCCAGGGAGCACTGTCAATACGCTCAAGGTATGTTTTTAGGGTCCCAAGAGGGGGAAGGAGCAAATACCCCGCGAGGAAAATTCAATACCCAGGTATCGAAAGGATTCGTCCATCGGGGTACAGGGAATAGGGTCGGCTCCAGGGAGCACAAGCTGGTCGGTTAGGTTCTCCGTGAACCCACCACGAAAAACGCCGACATTAAAGTATTTGGTCTTCTTCACGTTGATGGACATACCAGTCAGCCTCAAAGCCTCCTTAAAGGAGGCTAGCGTCGCTGATAGGCCATCGTGTGAAGATGAAAGAAGGACAAGGTCATCCGCGTAGGCGAGCTCAGCGAGAGGCTGGGCACCAAGCTGGAATGGGTCCTTACTGTGGTTTGGGACAGCACCATGTCCATAACCAAATTGAAAACCAGGCCTGATAGGGGGTCTCCTTGGAGGATCCCAGACCCAAAGTGGGTTGGGGTCATTCCCTGGAGTGAGGTGGTGGCGTTGGTGAGTGTTGAAATGATGAGGTCAATTAATTTGATAGGGATGCCCATTCTATTGAGTGCAACTCGGATAGAGTGGTGGGACACGGTGTCAAACGCCTTACGTATGTCGACTACGCAGACATGAAGACCGGTCTTTTTCATCCTAGCGTGGTGGATGGCGGAAGAGAGAACCATCGTGTTCTCAGAAACGCCGTCCACCATCCGGAACCCTTTTTGGCCTCCCCAGTAGGGAATTGTGGCAATCGCCTGGCCAAGATCCGGTGGAATACGCGAGCAGCGTGGGGGAGAACCGTGATGGGTCTGTAGTCACCCGGTGAATTGGGTGAGCGGACCTTTGGGATGAATGTAGTTCTCCCATTCAGTAGCTTTTTAGTGGTCGGGTCAGAAAAATCATACCCGTCGCAGAGGGTCCTGTTGTAGGAGTCCCTTAGGGAGCCCGCATCGATGTTCCGGAACCTGCTTCCAGACCAGCCGAGCGGGTCGGGCCAGCATTACCGGTAGGCATTGCCTTCAGCACCTCCTCTGTGGTTATGGGTTCCAGGAGGTAATTATATTTGTTGGGGAACAATTTGGAGGGATGGAGCGATTATCTGGAGAGCTGGGTTCTTCAAATATACTCTTCCAGTGGTTGATATAATCGTCAGGGAGGCCAGTGGAGTCAAGGCTTCCAATGTCATCAGTGATGATAGCCTTGGCAAGACGTTTGAAGTCCTTGCGGCCCCATTTTTAATGGCGTCACGAACGCCAGGTGCACGTTTCCGGCGCGGGAAGTTTTGGACGCTGTATGTAATTATTGTTGACATTAGTTTTGGCCAGGGTTTACCTCCTGAATAGCCTGCTCAGCTAACGTGAGCATGAGCTTTTCAGACGGCTCAACAATTAGTTTGTGGCGTAATACGGCCATTTGGGACGGGTTGAAAGGGCCACGTTTCTTTCCCCCACGCACATCGCCCTCCAATGCCATGTGGAGGTTCATTAATAGCCTTCCGCAACTATGGGGTAGTCCACCATCATAGTTACAAAGGAGGAAAGGCTTGATGTCAGTTCGCCATGTCGGGCAAAGCGAACGTAGGGCGGGTTGATAGACGGGAGAACTTTTCGATCAGCTTAACTTTAAATCGGCTGTTTGGTCTTCGGCCTGGGCTGTAGGTCGCTTGGCTGGGCTCTGGAGGTACTGTTCATTGCTTCACCAAGGGAGAGATGAGGGGACCTATGGGCGGAGTGCCGTCAGGTATCCAATCCTCAAGGAGGTTCAGCATCCCTCCTCGGACCGTTAAACCACACACACTCTCGTTAATCCATTCATGCGCGTCACTAATTAGATGACGAGTATTTGGCTATTAGACCTCAAAGAGGGAGCACTTAAATTTTAATTACCAGCAAGCACTAATACTTGAAATGGCAGCGGAGAAAAACTCACGCCTAGGCCGTTGCTTGCCATACGCTTTTTGATAGTGTGCCAAACTTGTTGGCGGACTTAACCGTTAAGTGCTCCCCTCGAGAAATTTTTATTGAGAAAGGAACACATGAGTTATATAATTACAGATACGATAAGTTTTGATTTTTAGTATCGATCCATAATGGAATTGTATTAAAAGAATCATGCTCCATAACTGGAGCTTGTATAGTCACTATTTGTAAATGTGAACATTTAGTCTACAAATAGTATTATTAATATGAAGGGATTTTCACCAATTGTAAATTGGTTTAATATAAATACATACACGATAAATTATAATTTAGGATCGATACGTAATATGATAGAATTTTATCCAATTATAAATTGGAATTGTTTAAGCACATGCACGATAGTTATTGATAGAGATCGTTGTGTCATGGTAATGTTTATGTTTGAAGAAGGCACTTAAAGTGTCCTTAGGTGCGGTGAAATTCCCATCCCTGTAACGTCTGAAGATATTATGGGATAGGGTTAAGATCCGGAGTTGAACGTATGCAAGAACCGGGGGGGATGCGGCACTGGCGTTTGAGGTCGTTCATGCTCTTGTAGAAGACTATGCCTCTCCAAGTCGCAATGAACGGGACAACGATGATTTCGGTCTCATCAGGTTTGCCGAAGTGAGCCTTCAGTGCCACTGCGGCGACTGAGGATCCGTATTTGAGGATTTTTCTGTTGTAGTCTTCTGACATGTTTGCTTTATCAGAGACTATAGATGGGTCGACCACAATTAATTTATTTTGCCCTCCAACACGATGTCTGGCTTCATGTAGGGTGCTTCCACTGGGATACGATTCTTCGTATGACAATCATATCCCAGCTTGCCCATGGAGGAAACCAGCATAGCTTGGATTTCGTCGTGTCGATGAATCCGCAGGGCTTGAGTTTAGGACAACCTTGAAGAATATGCGAGAGGTTGCCCACCTCATCGCATTGGTTGCATTTATTGTTAGGCGTTTTCTTGTACCTGTGTAGTTTGGAAGGGGTTGACACAGAATTACTAACAGTTTGCAGGGCAGCGCAGAATTCCCAATTCTTGACTATTAAGTCATTTCTTCTTAGGAACGCAAAATTGCTGCTTCCGGTGCGTGCATTGGCCAGACCAGCCGTGTCGACTCTGTTGCAGAGGTCGGTCCGATAATGGTTCTGTATCCGTTCCTCGGAACTGAGGCGGACGCCTCTTACGGATACAATCTTCTTCACAAGTTCCGAAGCAAAAAGGCGAAGAATCTCGATTACTGGGGTCCTGGGACTCCTAAGTTTTTCTAATCGCGAATTGAACCAGACCCTGGAGGACCGTTCGTACTCGACGACGCCCAGTCCTCCATCCGAGTTCTACAGTAGTAGAAGGCGAGGGGGGTGTCCTTGTAGATTCCTGTCCAATTCCGGACTTGGTCTCGGATCAGGGCATCTGTTCTCCGGAGCTCCTTTACCGGATCACGCTCCGGGAGATCGGATACGTGAACCGGGGGAGCATGTAGTCCTTGAGAGCAAGCATCTTGCTCTGAGCGCTCCAAGGGGCATTGTCAATCCGTTGGAGTAACGTAGAGACCTTGTCATATAAGGGGTAACGACAGAGGCCTTTTGTGGTGAAATCAACCCCCAAATATTTAAAGGTTCATTCATTGGAATTGCCTTTATCTTTTCGTTGGGTGGGAGTAGCAATTCGTCGTACACATTTTCAACAATTTTGCCGCGCAAGGACGAAACGTTGAAATATTTACACTTAGGTAGAGATAGTGTCATACCGCAGGCTTTGATCGCCGCAGTAAAGGAAGCCATTGTTTTTTGCAATGATGTCTGGCTGTCACCTAGTAGTATCACGTCATCAGCGTACACTAATTCCGCTAGAGGTTCGTTACCATCATAAATGGGCCGACAACTTCCGTCTGGGAGAGCGCTAGATCCATGACGGCGTTAAATATGAAACCTGAAAGGGGATCACCCTGGGGAGTTCCCGATCCAAATCTTGTTTGGTGGTTCGCTGGAGGAGAGTGCGGGCACCATGCAGCGAACTTAGCATCAGTCTAACCAAATGCCGAGGCAATCCTAGACGAGCGAGGGCGATTCGAATCGTTTCGTGGGAAACGGTATCGAATGCCTTACGGATGTCCAGTACGCAGGCGTGGAGTGGGCTAGAAGATTTATTAGCGTGGTGTATGGCAGCCGAGAGCACAAATGAGTTCTCACTCGTGCCATCGACCTGCCGGAATCCTTTTTGACCTCCCCAATAAGCTACTCGGTTGAGTCGCTTGCTAGGATCCGGTGGAAAAGCCGGGTCGCGTGGGGGAAGACGGTGATTGGTCGGTAGTCACCATAGTTGTTGGGGGATGGACCTTGGGATGAGGTCGTTCTGGCTAATAGCAGCTGGACTCATTCCGACCCCATGTGTAAGCCCTCAGGAGGGCCTTGTTCAGGGTCACGGAGAGACGTAGCGTCTATTGGCTTTGAAGCGACCCCTGGTCCAACCCAGAGGGTCAGGACCGTCGATTGAGTTGCATATTTGCCAGGACCTCATCGGTGGTGATTGGTGGCCAGAAGGTCAGAGTATTTATCTCTCGTGCCATTGTAGACGAATACTCTGTCATCAGGGGATGAAGGTGCCTCGAAAATGTTTTTCCACGGGGGTATGAACTGGGGTGGCATACCCTGGGAATTCAGTTTGTCAGGGGCGTTGTCGAGGATAGCCCTTGTTAACTTCCAAAGTCTTTTTGCTCCACTGCTTTATAACGGCGCGAAGCGTTGGTTGGGGAGTTTTCTGGGGAAGTTGGTGACGCTGTATTTTATTATACAGTTAAGTACAGTGCGCCACGGGTCTTCTGATCACTGATCCCTTTGAGAATGGATTCAATTAGGTGAAGGGTCGGTGGAACTATGAGGTTTGTATTTAAAGTGGTCCTTTGCGTAGGAGTTAAGGGCCACAGTCTCCCGAATCGGGCCGTGGCTTGTCGAGGGCATGAGGCAGACTCCATGAGTTTGCCCACATGTTTGGGGGAGAGATTCAAGGTGTTCCGGAGAAGCGCGAGTAGCTCGTCCGCCATTCATGTCTTAAATGTTTAAGGCAGGTGAGAGATGTTTGTAAATTTTGATCATTTCGAGTTGGTATTTGGGTGGTCCACGATCAGTAGTTGGT